TTCTATGACATGGATATGAGGACAAGCAGGGTTCATAGGGAACTGTGCAAGGGGTCATAAGACAGGAGCACCTCCAACATTTCTGAGCTATATTCCCACTACCTTCCTCCCCCACAGTTCCCAGAGGGCCCCTCTGGGACAGAGTGAAGTGGCACTGAGGGGTCATCACCTCTTCCAGGATCTGATCTGACCTATACCACACTGACTCCAGGCCATGGGGGTTTGACAGAGGTCAAGAAGTGATGGACAGAAATCTCCAGAAAGAGCCCTGAATCACTGCACCTCTGCCTTCAGCCCTCTGCCACTCCCATCAATAGGTGCACAGTCCCAATGAACACCCACCTCTTTGGCCCAAGAGCAGCATCTGAGGCCCTTCCTGTAGCAGGTGCAATTCATAAAAAGCCCTTTGCCCTGCTGGGCCCTGGCCATGGTGTCAGAGAATGTATAATTCAGGCTCCCTAAGAGAAAATAACCACTTACTTCCAGCCTACTGCAGGTTTGACTGAGCTTTGTCATGTCGTCATAAATCATCTTCATGTGCTGGTTTTTCTTGTGATGTTCAGATACGTTCTTCAGGGTGGAGATGAAGTTCTTTGTAAACGTTCCATAGCAGGGCTCCTGAAATAGGGTTGGGTACTGGTGTGGTGGCGCACTGCAGAGCACTAGCTGACCCCCACCCTCATCCGTCCCTGGCCACAGGAAGCCCTGGACCCAGGCTCAGTTCTCACCCTGACTCTTCCTCCAGAGACCTGTGGACCTTGCAGAACTGTGCAGTGGATACTGTCTCCTTGGGCCCCAGTCTGTGCTGGGACTGGCTCATTGAGCAGAGGCAGCTCTGCTGACTGCCTCTGTGCCCTAGGACCCTGGGCACTGGTTCATCTGTTTTCTGAGCTGTATGCTCCTTGCTCACACCTTCTCATTTCTCCTCAGATTTCTCTTTCCTACATCCCTTCTCATATTTCCTTCCTGTATGCTGACTGGGGCTTATCACTCTCTCTCTCTGTTCCATTAGGGTCAGAGAGGTCCAAGGGGTGGGCACTCCTTACCTCACTGGTGTTCTGGGGCTTCTCAAAAGAGCCCTGGAAATAGGATAAGTCAATCAGAAACACAAAAGACACAACACCCCAAAATAACTGCTCATGAAAATCCAGACTTACATTGTATTTAACGTTGTCTTTCGAAAGTTGGAACAGAATCTCAGCACAGAGGGCCGTGTGGTTATCACTGATGGAGGTGCCGGTGATCTTCATGGGGGTAGAGTGTCCTTCGGACACCCAGAGTGCCCACACAAGGAGCACACATGGGTGCATGGTGCCGCTGCAGGTGGCCACAAGACAATCCGAGCCCTGGCTTCGGCAGCATCTCTGTGGGGAGGGGGCATCTATATACGTGAGTCTAAGGAAATGTTAAATCTCTTATCAACCATCACTGGTTTGTGAGGAAGACTGAGAAGACCTTATCGCTGGGCAAGATGTGCTTTTCATGCATTTTCTACGACCACAGCACACTTCATGGATTCTTGTCTTTACTGAATTTCATACTTTGTCTAAGAATTTTTATTTGTAATCACATCTGGAGTCATGACCTTTCTGCCTGAATGTGGGGTGGGTCTTTGGCCAGGATGGGGCTGTCTGTGATGCTGATTGGTCAAAGAGAGCGTGTGAGTTGATAGGGCACCGAGTTGGCTATGGACAGGCCCACCAGTCAGGCAGGAAGCTGGCCCTTGCTGTCCAGCTGAGACTTTGGGACACACCTAGTGCCTGAAAGGCCCCAGGAAGGTCAAAGATGGCCAGACTCAGGAACAGGCCACTAGCCTAGTTTTTAGGAAAATGCTTCATTGGAATGAAAATGTAATTAAAAAAAACAAAACAAAACAAAACAAAACAAAACACCAAAACAACATAGCAGTGATATTTACCATTGCAGGAATATGGAAACAGCCCAACTGTCCAACCATAACTCAATGAATTGAGAAATTGTGTTACATTCACACAATGGAATACTATGCAGCACTCTGGAGCAATTCTTAAAAAATACTATATAACTTGAGAGACTGAAGAGCATTATGCTGAGTGAATGAACTCAGTCTCATAAGGACCAATATGGCATAAACCGTTATTGTAAAAATAGACGTGTAAGGGAGTGTGCCAGGGTTGGTGCGCACGCAGGGTGGACCCTGATGGGTGTCTGAGTCTGGATATGCATGAGGGACAGTGTGCCTGTACCCCCTCAGAGTGGATCCAGCCATTCCTGAAGGATGTGATTAAGGAGGCCCGAGGTCACCGAGCATGACAGTGACACAGGGACAGGAGCTACCCTGCCTCAGGCGACAAGGCACAAGCTCATTTCCAGACCTGCTCACCAGGTTTGAAGAAGTCAGAGAAAACCACCAAGTAGGAGCCTTATGTTCCTCAAGAGGGTGACTCTCGATGGTCACTAGGCTACCTGGAAGCTGGACATTTCATGCTGATGCACCTCTTGGGAGACACTCCAATCAGCCTGGTGTTAGATGGTTACAACCTATCAGAAGAGAGCACAACCACCGGCCACATGCTACCTAAACATTAGCTATGTCACAACCCACCTGAGGATCCTACGTAGGTCCTTACAAGGGAACTGGCAGAGAGCATCTGATTAGTGTCCTCCACAGAGAGTTGACCATCAAATAGGGAGAGCTGACCACCGAATAGATCAACTTGCCTCCCACCTTCCCAAACCCCCCACCCTGCATGTAAAACCTTTGTTGTAGGTTTTCTGCATGTGATTTCCCATCCCCATCCCCACTGCCTCCCTCCGGCCTGGGACTGCAGAACTTCATCCCAGAGTTGATAATAAATTCCTTTGTTTTACTTAAAAAAAAAAAATAGAAGGGTAACTAGTAAAACATGTATGGGGGCCCAAGGAGGAAAGTGGTGGGAGCAGAGGGGTGAGGATGGGTAGGGTTGCAATCACAGGATTGCACAGTTCGGTGGGTGGAGAGAAGGGGTAAAGGAAGTGAGAAACATCCATTGGGGACCTGAAAAGATAGGGTAATGATGGGCATAGTCCAATGATGGCTAATTTTATAAAACATGATGCATGGGAATGATTGTATGAAACAAAATGTGAATGAAGAATAGTGTGAAACAATGTATAAGAACTTTATAAGCAAACTGATAAAAAATAAAAATGAAAAAAAGGAAATAAAAAACCAGTTCAGAAAAAACATTATACTGAACTCCTCACCAACAAACAATGAACTTACGTTCTGACTCTCAAAGATTAAGATCATTCATTTTGGAGAAACTTGGGTAAATATGCTGAGCTCTGACCCCTGTGGTTTGGCTTCTTTTCTCTGAACAGTTTCTCTTTGTTAATTTACCTTTGGGAGTGGCTGCAGCCTTAGTGTCTAAGCAGGGTGAGGGGCAGGGTCTAGGGCCTCTGTGGGTTACAGAGTTTTGTCTGAGACAGGGTATGCTTTCAGACAATTAATGGCCAGCCAACCCCAAGAAAGAAGATGTCCTTTATCTAGGACAAGGCCTAGTATCACTCAGGGGCCTGGCATATGGACTGTACCAAGTGAAGCTGGAAGAGGGGATGAGCCAAAATTGCTATTAAATTTTTATGCCTTATTTTAACAGAAATTTCTTCTTTTCAATGAAAATACCTCTGTAATCATAGGGAGCTCTAGGGTCCTGATGGTAAAAAGCTGTGCTGCAATCCTGAAAGTACGCAGTTCAAATCCACCAGCTGCTCTGTGGGAGTAAGATTAGCATCTCACTTTGTGCAATTAAACTGCCTCTGAAAACCCACTGGAGGATCAGCTATGGGTCGGTTCTGACTCAACAGTACACAATAGCAACAACAATGAGTTATACTAAAATAAATACACGTTTCATAAACCCAGTTGATGTATCAACATGCTACAAGGCTAAAACTCTATCCTAATTTACTGTTTGATCCTTCTAATGCACTCAGATCAGAGCTAGCATTCTCACCCCACTATAATGATGCTTCAGATTACATGGTTTCTTCTGCACATTATGCTGTTTATTTTGTTCTGGTAGTGGTTTTGTAGTCAAATTTTTATTTTGTCAAACTTTCTGTATTTTAGCTATAATACTTTGATAACTAGCATTGGTGAACCTACTACATCAATTACTTTTAAAGAATAAAGTCAGAACGAAAGGAAAGTTGGGAAAGAAATTGGAAAAGGTTTCTACTCAGTTACTAATAATGTTGTCACTGACAAGGCTGTATTTAAGTGCAGAAATATTTTACAAGACAGTGTTACTAACATTCATACAATCTGAGAACTATTACACTTAAGCAATTTATAACTGTATCTATCACATATTGTTCTATGATTAAGACTGATAATCGACATTACTAAGAATTTGGGATGGTCTGGTGCAGGAGGAGGTTGGAGGAGGTCCATGGAGAAAGGAGGTGACACACGGAGTTACCACATTGGGTGACATCAACCTCAGTGACGTCACTGGGGCAAGGTTCCAGCTGGATTGGGTGCTGGGTTTTCCAAGTAAACCAAGAAATGCTTCTCTGGAGTGGGAGGCCCTGGGCATCCAAAGAAGATCCTCAGATGTGCCAAAGTTCTCTGTGGCCCAGCTCTTGCCCCTCTTTGGTCTTCATTCCTATGACAGGGCCAGTGTGCTGTACGATTTCCCATCCCATCCTCCTATCTCCATCCCTCCCTGCCCGGGGAACAAGGGGCACCCCTAGCATTTTCTTGTTGTTGAAAAGAAATCAGAGAAACTGAGCAAATAAGAAGAGACTTTTTAATAACTTATTATTACAGTGAACACATCTTGAATAAATATTGACTTAAATAAATAAATTAATAAATAAATACAAAATAGGTAGATAAATATATAAATAAATATTAAGGATTCTTGCCAGTGTAAAACATCCCACATCTTGTTATGACTTCCATTAGGGTCAGTAGGGCCCAGGACAGGTCCACTCCCCTCATCGGTGTAGCCCACCCCACGATCCCATCAAAGTTAAGATGCTGAGTTTCTGGGTGGGAGGGCAGTGGTCCGTGTGGTCAGGTCCCAGAGCCGGCCTCTGGCTGGAGAGGGTAGGGTGGTGGACCAGACAGCTTCTCTTCTAGACCAGCAGTCAAAGGGAATGGAGTGCAGAAATGTCTCCAACTTTTTCTTGAAGGTCTTGAAGGTTACAGTCTGGCTTGTACAAGCAGTTTCCTTTACAAAAAATACAGGACAAAAAGTTTGATTTCTAGGCACAAGTGAATGGCATGAGGACATGCCAGCAAGTTTCTTTGCTGTCTCTCAGAAGCCAGAACGTTCATCCCGGGGCTGCTTTTGACCTGGGTGAGGTGACATTGCCAACACTACTGTGTCACCCAAAAGGTAAGTGGCTCAACCAATGGCAGGCTGAGCCAGGGGCATGGCTAAGTGCCAACTCCCAGCTGCCACCTATTTTCCTGTTCCTCTGTCTGAGGGTGATCTGCTGGGTACCACAACCTCTTTCATCCCTGGTCATGGCAAAGTCACTAGGCTGATGCCATCTCCAGGTGCCCTGAGAGGCAGGAGATACATTGCAAAGACTTGCTTATTCCAGGTATGCAGGGCAGCTGAAAGTCCTGTGGGGGTGCCCTCTCACTTCCTCTGTACTAGGCCAGGCTCTGAGTTTCCTTGGATTTGCCTCACCTCTGACCTCATTAATAATAATGACAGTAACAAGGTATGTGGGAGCTCCCCTCTAGGGAGCACTGTGGGCAACCCCACACAGCCCAGTGGCTTAAACTCCTTGTGATGGCAATGGGCTGCTTCTTCTCCAGAGAAAGAATCATTAGAAATCTGTCTAGACAGAAGCCCCCTGGGGTCCTGAACAGTCACTCAGAGGGCACACCCCACTGAGTTCCCCCTCTCCCAGGCCAGGAGACCTTTATCCTTAGGATCTAACATTTAGACAAACACCTTAGTGTAGGCACTTACCAGGGTGGGGGGGCAGTGCTCCTTGTACTGTTGATCTATTACAGTCAGTGGCCCCTCAAGACTGGTGAATTTGCCCCTCAGGCCTTGCTTAAACAGGCCCAGATGGGTCCTCAGGCAGGTCGGCTTCTGTGGAAAAAGTCATTCTCAGTGGACAGTGGTCCAATGTCCTGGTGGCACAGGACAATCTTCTCACTGCTCCTTCCTTTTCTCAGCCCCATCCCTGTGCCCCCAAGTGCTGAGTCTGGAAAGGACACAGCATGATTCCTGGCTAGTCTTGCTCTGGGTCCAGTCATATCTTGTTTCCTCACAAAAACCGGGGCTCTCCTCACTACTCAGGGTCAGGCCACTTTGAGCAGCCACACCCCTTGGCCTGGCACCTCAAGTGCATTCCAGCCTCTAGGGAAGGAAGACATTGGCCCATTACCCACCGTTGCCTGGACCTGCTTCTCAAGCAAAGATGGTCCCAAAAGTCCCAGCAACCCTCTGGTGCCACAAGGCTTGAGCCTTGGGCCCTCAGCCTGCAGGGCTGCTCTTGTGAGGTTACCCCAGCTCGCCCATCTGTCCCCTGAATCTGCCTGCATGCTATCTGCCCAGAGCTGATAAAAGGCACCACGTGACTGCTGCAGGGGGAGGGCCAGTGGTCTCTGGTGCACCAGAAACTTCCCCTTCCCTGGCAGCTAGCCATCTGGACAGCAAGTGGACCACCTCGTGAGGGTCCATCGGAAAGGTAGCAGCCCCTGGGAAGCAGAGGCCTCTGGGAAGGTGAACCAGAAAAAAAAAAAAAAAACAACCCTCTTACCTTGGGGTTGAACTTTCCTGAGACAATCTTTACTGTGTCCTATGGAAAAGAAAAATGCCACATTAGCCAATTGATAGGTGAGATCATTCTGGGGTCGCTGGGTACAAGACCACCGGTTGTGAGACTGCCGGACATTGCGGTGCGCTCCCCTTTACTCACTGTTATAGTAAGAGTGTCCTCGCTGTCCTTCAGGAGGTGCAGGGCCTCACGGATGGCATATTTTAGCTTTGAGGGCCAAGTGACAGAGTTGCCTGTGGGTGCGGAGATGCTGCGGGCCACAGTGACCAGGAAAAGCAGGTTCTGCAACCACATCCTCCTGAGGACTTTAGCCTTTCTCTCTGAGTACTGGGCTCACTAGCAAAAGAGCTCTTATATACACAGTTAGAGGAAATGATTAATGGTGACCACAAAACGCCAGGGAGGCGGGGGAACCACCTGAACTGTGGAATCTCCTGGCCCTTATCAGCTACACATGGGAACTGTGAGCCTTTCCTTCAGGTGGTCAGGCCTGGGGGTTTTCATTAATGAGCTTTTCCAACAATGTGCAGCCCCCCCCCCCTACCTTCTAGACCCCTCTTTGACCCTCACTGGGCAGTCTGACTGGCCTGAGCTTATCCCTTTCTTCTAAGGGTTCTCTGGGCACGGCCTGGACTTTCTGGCACAGAGTGGCCAGACAGGGTTTGGGAGACACCTGATCCAGCTCCAAGAACCTTGATGTCCCATCCTACCTGGTAACCCAGGAGGCCTTTGGAATCTACTGACGCTAGTGCCCATTTGGACCCCATTTCCTCCCATTCCTATGAAGAACTCATCCCTCTGGCCACACTGAGGGATTTGAGAGGAGGAGAGTCTCACAGGCCTGTCCCACTGTCGAGATAGGCAGGGGCCAGCCAGCCAGCACAGTCATGTGAAGCTTCCCCACAGCTTTCACCAGTGACCCAGCACAGTTCATGAGCTCTGCCCAGTCAAGAGACTCTCGCCCAGAGTCCCTGTGAGCTGAGATCATGGCAGCTGTGTATGTGCCCAGTCCTTCATGGTGAGATCTTGTTTGATAGCAGCAGCGCAGGTTTAAGGAACCATGCATGTTCAAATCCCAGACTGCAGCAGAGGGTTGGGGCTACCAGCTGAGACCAGCCAGGCCCTTTTGTTCAAATCCTGTACTACCTATGAGGGACCCTTCCCTTTGGGTTGTGTGAGCCTGAGGCACCGGCCTTACCTCTCTCTTCAAGGCAAGCTGCTTCCTCCACTGGGGCCCCATGCTCCCCCCCCCACCCCAGGGCACTGGTTGTGGGGTCCTGGCTGCATACACACACCCACCAAGTACCTGGGACAGCAGCTTCTCAAGCAAGGTCCACCAGGCTCAGTCTCTTACAGGGTTTCATCCTCATGACACCTCCAGCTCAAGAGGGGCTTCTGTGGAAAAAGAACAGCTTTTGAAAAAGCCACCAGCTCTCCCGGGGCCGACAAGTGTTTGATTTTCACAACTGGGTTTTGAGAGGGCAGCGTGAGTTTATTTGCAAAAGGGAATCGGCTCAAGCCGTCCCATGCCATGACTTCCATGCCTGTGTGTGCCCGTGCTACAAGTGAGTTGGGGGGCTGATTTACAAGGTGGTGCTGTCCATCAGAGTCTCTGTCCTTCTGAGCCTGGGAAAGACTTCCAATAAAGTCCTGCTGGGTGTGGGGATGTAGCAGGTCCAGGCTCTGACCTCCCCTCCACCTCTCCCATAAGACCTCTCTGCTTTGGTCCCTTCCAGGACGCATGTGGAAGGTGTGATGGCTGAGAATGGGGGCCAGAAGGAGAGTGAGGAAACCACATGCAAATGCCAAGTGAGTGGATTTGCAGGAGTGAGTGGGCACATGGGTCTGTGGCAGACCAGGCTGAGGGACTGGGGGGTGGGGGAATAAGGACTACAGGCCAAAGCTTAGCTGGTGGTCAGGGAGGCAGAGAGGCTGGGGACCCCACTCTGAAGTGGAAGGTCACTTTCGGGGAATGAATCATCACAACTCCACTGTCCACAAACCTTTCCAATCTGTGTCAGCCTCTGTGTGGGGAGGAGGTGACATTGACTCACCTCTGGCCATTGAGATTCTGGTAGAGGAGACAGCTCACAATGGACATTCTTAGTATGTGGGCCAGGCTAGAATAGGAGCTCAAAGTTGAAGGAGCGCAAGGACCACCCTAGTTCGGCAGTAGAAGGGGTCAAGGGCTTCTTGGGAGAGGCTGCCTCCCAGGTTAAGCTGAAAAGGCAGGGAGAAGACAGGTGATCACATTTGGTTGTGAGAGGGAAGAAGCAAGAAAGATAGTGGAGAGTTCCAGGCACAAAGAACAATAAAGGCAAAGGCTCAGGGACAGGATAAGGGGTCTTTAGCATCTCATTCAGGCCAGTCAAGTTGTAATGGTGGTCAGAGGACCCTTAGTGACAGTGATTGGTTTGGGCTTGATCTTATGAGTAGTGGACCACTCTAGGCACTGCTGTAATGGTGACCTTGATTAGGGTTTTAGGAACAGGTCTGATGACAGGAAGCAGATTATAGAGGCATTTCGAAGTGGGATAGCACTTGGCGATGTGGGTTCCCACTCATTCAGTATTTACTGATCACCTACTATGTTCCTTGCAGGCAAAGGGGGTACAGGTATGACTATATGGTTATGACAGCACAATCGGTGGGGAAGTGGAATCAATCTACTCACTCATCCCTAAAAGTATGGTTTTGAATGGAAATGAGTCAGAGGAATTCGAGCCACTATCCAACTATCCAGGTGTATGAACTGGAGGGAAATTTCAGAGGTGAGAGGGCTGCCTGGACAAGAGATAGAGTAGGATTAAGGGAGCTCTGGTGGCCTAGTGGCAAGACGCTGCACTGTAATCCCAGAGGTATACGGTTCAAATCCACCAGATGCTCTGCTGGAGAAGGAGGGGGCAATCTCCTCCTGTACCAGTCAGATCTGATTTGACGGTACACGTAAAAATAATACAATAAAAATAAAAAATAAAAAAAGAGATAGAGTAGGATTATGTCCATGTAGTACCTTCGTAGGAAGAAGGGCTGAAGGCCAGACGACAGCTGTGTTGCCATGCCAGGGGCATGAGAGCTGCTGAGTGACCTAGCCAATGGTCCTGAGAGAGCAGAGAAGAAAGAAAAAGCAAGACCTATGAAGAGAGACCCACGCCTTGTGTCCTCCAGGGGCCTGGTCACCATGCAGAGCTGGTGTCCTGGGGTTCATGAGGAGGGTCACGTGCAGCCACATGTGTCTCCTGGAAAGATGACATCAGGGCCGAAGCCATGACAGGCATCCCTAGATTGCACCGCATGGAAAGAGCAGCGATAGCATCGAGCGACCGCAATGACTCAAGGCCACAGTGGAGACCATGATGGGCGGTGTGACTCCTCCTTGTCCTCTCCCCAGAGGGCCAGGAGAGAACTCTCGGGAAGGGGTTTCCTGTGAGTCTGTCTCCCCACAGCCCTGGAGGAAATGGGGCTTGAGACTACCCCGGGATCCTTATTACAAAAGGAAGTTGTGGAAGGAAACAGACTTCAGAGTCCCTGGCATCCTGGGGGACCTCTGTTCTCATATCTCACGTTGATCTGATCAGCATTGATCAGACTCGCCTGAAATTTTCTACTCTCTCAGGTTCAGAAAGCCAGGAAGTGCTAGTCACCTGACTGGATCAGCATAAGGATGGCCTGGGCATGCTTGTCCTCATCAGGTCATTTACAAGGTGCTGGCAGGGTCCTAGAGAGGCCTGTGACTGTGCCAGGGAAGTGCTGGGCTCTAAAAAGCAGAATATCTACACCAGATCCTGCCATCCAGGCACCTCTGAACCACAGGCTTGAGCTCTACACCAGCCCCACCACCACTAATTCCCTTGGAAAGTCCCTCTTCTCTGAACCTCAGCTCCCCCATCTGTACAATGGGTTTAATTACAGCGGCCTCACAGAGGAAATTCTCTCGTGCTGCAGGAAATTCTTTGGAAGAGTCCTCCTAGGGAAGATGAAGTGTTTCAACACTCCCTCCGTTTTGGCAGGTTTCTGAAGTCTAAACTGGGCAGAAGGCCCAGCCTTGCTGGAATTTTCAGGGACAGTTGCCCATTGTCCAACCCTGGCCCCAGAGAACATGCTCCCCGATAGACATGAAGAGACCAGCACACACCCAGAGTCGGGGCCTCACCATCCCTGTCATCAGACCCAGGTCCTGGGACTCCCGAAGGAGGGGCTTCCTTTCCTGAGAAGGAGTTCTTGTCACTCCAGACCCAGAACAGTCACTCTGAGCTTTGTGGTTTGGTCCTTATTGACACCACGCCCCAGCCCTTGTCAGGGTTCTCGGGGACTCACATCAAAAAGACCAGTCTGCCCTAGCCAAACTCCTGTCCGGTTCTGGCTGCCCCTACACCCCAGCACTGGTCACTCCTGACTGTGAGGGTGAATTTGAGAGTGGTCCAACCATGTGTATCCTTTCCACTGTATTTAAGAAGGGTTCACTATGTGTGACAAACCTGTCAGCACCCTCTACTCAGAGAGAGCTCCCCTCTCATGGTTGTGTGGGAGGGGCAACAGGGTGCATGAGGTGTGGGATCAGTGGTTCCAGTAAGGGCCCCAGACAACATGGAAGAGACAGAACCTTGAGAGAGGGCCATGGAGTGAGAGGGAAGCAAGTTGAAGTAAAGAATCAATAGACTTTGTTGTGTGGTTTGAGGCACAAGGTGAGAGAGGATTCTGAAGTTTCAGATTCTAGTCAGGCAGCTGGATGGATGTTAGTACTGTTTGCTGAGATGAGAGAGACCCAGAGTGGCAGAGAGGTTGGGGCAGCCCAAGCTGGACTGGGTGTAGCAAGTTTGAGAAATCATGACACTCCATGAGACTCAGTGGATGGTGGCCGAATGGTTGCAGAGTTCAGGGTGCGATGAGGCCTGAGAGGGTTGGGAGGCATTGATTAAGAGGTTTCCAGCACCATCCAGGCTGTGTGGAGGGAACCAGCGTTCAGATAGTGGTCAGGATGGGAAAAGACACGGAGGGCCCTTTCTTCACTTTACTCCTCAGTTTCAGGGCGTCCCCGATATGCGCCCTGGCCATCCATGCCCATATGCACACTGATGCAGGCAGTGATGGTGGACAGGACTGGATTTCCTGGGAAGAGCTAACAAGGAATGCCAGTGTACAGGATGGGGCTCCCCCAGGCTCCTCCCCACATCAGTGCCTCACACCTGTGAGCCTGCCCCACCCCCCACCTCCTCGCCCACTTGTCAACTCCCTTCTCACTGAAATTCCCTAATCCCTGCCCCCGGCCTCATTATGAGCTGGGAATGGGTGCC